TAGGGCTTTCATTTCATATCAAATATACCATTTGAAAAAGTAGACAACCCAGGGTATTCAAAATGGGGTTTGTCCAGTCTTTTTAAGTAGAACCGTACATATTTATTTTTTGCATTTTTCACACCAAAAAAATGCCCTTTCACTGATGATGTCATCAGCATTATATGTTTCACTGCTCTGAAACACTCATACTTGTCTTCAGCGATGTCTCATGAGTTTAACATTATTCCCTCATGTACAGATTTTATGATGTTTATGAAAGTTGCAGGCTTGCGAATTAAATTCTCTGGACTTTCTGCCTGGGTTGTCAGGCAGGTACTTCATTGTAATTTATATTAATATCGCAATCACATTTCCCTGAAGGCTGGATTGGCCATATGGGGACTGCACAAGTTGTCAGGCAGTTTCCCTGAACCGAAACACCACGGGGGTAAGGATAGAGTTGTGGGTGGTGATCTGCAGGACGTACCATGTCACCCTGCGGCATTTAAGCTCACTTACCATACCACCTTGCAAAAAGTTGGCTTAAAGGTTGCAGAGCGGCATGGCACATCCTGCAGATCACCTCCCTACCACTCTATACTTTGCCCTCTGCGGTGATCCAGTTCAGAGGGAAAGAGGTTAACCAGCGTTAAGAGGTTAGTTAGACATTTTTTCATTGGAGTATTGCTAAAAACAACTCGTGAGAGTTCTTGTCTGCGGCCTTTACAATCCCTCCCCTTCTAACCCCACCCAGACTTTCTGTGGCTGTCCAATCACAGACTTTCAAATGCAGCTCAATGAGAAGGCAAGGCAGATACTCTGTGTAATTTCCTCCCTCCATTGAGCTAAACTACCAGGAAGTAACATTCTTAGTGACAGCTGCAGGGTTCTAACAAGGTTAATTTATAAAAATAACAATTGAAATCTGCACTTTTTTGGTAAAATGACTAAAGAGGACACAGCCAGCAAGCTAAAAGGTTTTAGGTGTTTAGAGTTTTCCTTTAAGAAAACCAGTCTGTGTTCTGAACACCTTTTCATGGCTATCAGTTTTATTTTATTTTTATTTTTTGGCGTAGCCACATTGACTCATGCAGATGAAAAATATTGCAATCCCTGTTTTTTGGAATACATTTCTAAATTATTTTATAAAATTATGGGAATTAAAAGACAAAGTATTACAAAGTCCTGCAATACTACTTTTCAGTGTGGATGGTGTCTTAATGCCTAATTTCTATCATGGGATTCTTCCAAATATACAAAGCAGACATCCTTTCAGTTTCGACTTTGCCGTTCTCCACTAATTGTCTCTTACACAGCCATGTGTGCTCAAATATTAATACACACTGTGGTTTACTTCTGTCTAAAAAAAATACCCCTTTTCCCAAGGGATCCCCAAATGTGGAACACGCCTTAAGGTGCCTCTTGATTCAATAACTGCTACAAAAAAAATCTCTATATAATGTACTTTCATGCTCATGCTAAGTATTCTAATTAGTCTCTGTTGCTGTCCTCTGTGAGACGATAATGTCCTATTCCTATCCTGCTGGCTCTGATCTCCTTTATTGTGCAAATGTTGGCTCTTGTCTTGAGTACTCTTTGCTACTTACCATTACCTGAATACAGAAAACTTACTTTACGTGTATGTTGGCAAGGGCTGATTACAATGTTTTATCATTTAACCATACAACTGCAATGCCCAACTCCAAGTACAAAATTAACTGATATACTCTCTTGCCTATGTCATGCAAGATTGTGCATGAAACCATTTACAAAGTGAATTTCAAATTTAAAGGAACCTTATAGGCACCCAGACCACTTTAGCTCAGTGAAATAGTCTGTGTGCAGTGTCCCAGGTCCCTTAACCCTGCAGTGGTGGAAATATTACAGTTTTTAAGAAACTGCAATAATTACCTGCTAAGGTTAACCCCACTTCTTGTGGCTACACAGCCACTAGAGGGACTTTTGGTCGCCTAACTAAAGTTGGACATCCTCATGCTATGCATGAGGACATCCAGTGTCACCCAAAACCCCATAGGAACGCATTATGTAATGCTTTCCTGTGGGGGAAGTACTAATGTTGGCATGGCGATTGTCGCACATGTGCTTTAGGTTCCCACCCAATGGCTGATGTCAGAGGGGGAGGAGCCTGAACCAGCGCTGTGGGACATCAGCACTGGAATCAGGTAAGAGACAGAAGGGCTTTTTAATCTCTTCTGCACCACAAGGAATTCTCAAGGGACGGAGGCACTATATTCCTGACACTATAGTTTCTCTTTAAGGCCAAAACATTCAAACTAGAAAAACTCCTTAATCAGCTGAGCTTCCAGTTTGGCCACTTTGGCATTGAATTCCCTTTGAATTCTCAATATATTAAATAACCCTGTGAGTATTCATGAAAGTCATACACAGGAATGGTGGACATTCTCTTTACTCTTCACAGGAATTTCCACTCCTCTACTTCAAATGTTTGCTTTTTTTCTACTTAAAAGACATTTCCACGCGTTTCACTGTTTGTCCCTTTCTGCTTTTGCGAGATTTCCTTTGAGTTGCAAAAGGTTTCAATGTATGCATGTTTTTCAATGAAATAAAAGAAAATACTCTGACAAAATGCATTTTCACCATATTTTTAGCTTGTTTTAAGGATTTTCTTTATATATGCATCAAATTCACGCACAGTGTGCTTACAGAACTGCAAATCCCATCGAAGGTAGTTTTCACATTTTCTGTCAGGAAATTTTGCCAAACTTGTTAAAAAGTGAGATTATAATTTTGCTGGGCTATTTCCTTCGAATGAAGCCAAATAAAACTGGCGCTAAAATTGAAGCAGTTATATTCTGAGACGCTTCAAAAACATTCATTTCCTTTACTTTAAAACAGATCTCCAATTGCACATAAATTAACTCTTTCAGGGTCAGCAAATGCTAAAATTCAACAATCTTGTCAAATATACGGAACACGTTTGTATGTACATAATGAAACACAAAGATTAAAATCACATCTGGAATAGTGATATGCCCAGTAGATTGCATGAAAACTAAAACTCTTACTGTCAGTATACAATCCTAAGATGCTGTAACATTTGGCAGTATTTTGAAGGCTGTTTAAGGAATACGAGTAGGCTGTTGACACAGAAAGCCATGACTACACACCGCAATTTTCCTGGCTCCGTTTTTTCACAATAAATGGTACAATAATGTGGTCTAGAATTGTAACTTCTCCAAAACTTTTATGTACCTTATTATGCATTATAATGAGGTGCTATCAACCCTGTGCAAACATTTCATTCTTACCTAATTATACTACTCTATGCAAAAATTTCAGCTTGACCCAATTATATAAGAGAGCTAGGATTAGCCTTACTTTTGGATACATAGATACACAGACATATACTGATCTACAGAACTGTAAGCCAGAAAAAAAAAAAAGAATAATTCCAAAATAAGCATAATTAACTAAAGAATTTCTTGATTATAATACATCATTCTGTGACAGTTCATATACTATATATTTTTTTGTAACAAGCTCCAGTAGTAGAAGTTGTCACGCTTTCGCCTTCTTACGCTTTAACGAATGTGCTACACTTTTTTTGAATATGAATGGTTAATACAAGTCTGTTATTATAAGAAGGGAAAATCCAGGGATAAACAAGTGTAAATGTAATTTATTTCCCCAATGAGCTCTGCAAAACCTGATTTACTGATGAGTGAATTTTTCCATTAAATGGATATATAGTAATTTAATAGTCTTAGCATAGCACTTTTCACTAAAGAAAATTAACTAATTCATTATTGCTTATAATTCGCTGAGACATAGCTGCCATATTTGTAAATTCAGCAGGATCTTGTAAGGGGGCAAAAAAAAGGTTTTCAAATGAATGTTCATTTTAATATTTCTAAAGCTATTGAAATTATGATTACTTAGCCCCCTCTAGTGGTTGAAGATAAAATCACTCTTTGTGAAGTATAATGAATCAATTGAACTTCTGTATTGTAATTAAAAGCATTTAATATAGAAGCAGTAACTAATCACACAAGCTATAAACAATGATGAGTAATTTTGTGCTTATCATTTTTGTTTTGTTTCTTAGGTTCATATGCAATTTTAGAGTGCAGCTTTGATTGTGTTGTAACAATGATTTCAAAATATTGGTATTTTATTGAATGGCACTTCAGTTCTTTCGAATTTGAATCTGCTGCTTTTTACTGACATTTAGTGGCTGTCCCCTTGCCATTCAACAACTTTTTTCCACCAATCATATATTTTTTTAGGAGCAATGGGAGGAATTCCAAAACTTAGATCACAGCGAGCATGCTGGTAGGTTGAGTGATATGGTTGTTCTGGGGTTTGGCTACTTTTCGGCACGGAGTTTAGGATTTTGTGTGATCACCAAAATGTTATCACTTTTGGTTTATGGAAGTTGTATTCACCTGCAAGTGTTCTACATTAGAAAGCAGAGAATCATACTACAACTCCCAGAATTCAGAGATTTATTGAATAAATTCAACATTTCTATAGTACATTAAGTAGCCATCACAATTCCCTTCCTGGTCTGGTAAGAGTTTACTTCATAAACGGAAAATCTTGATGATTTGCAGCAAATAGAGGAAATACAAATATGAGTTTTTTTTTATTTGCTTTTAATTGATTGTTTTAGAATATTTGTATGCATTATCTAAGCAATGAATCAAATATCAACCCTACAAAATAAAATGTTGTTATATTCTAGATAAATACAACAGTTTTAATGAGCAACTCAATAGAATATTAACATTTTAGTCATGATTATATTGATTATATAATTATATATTATATTAAGGTATAATATGTATCAAATGTATTATTTTTTTTAACAACTAGCAAGTAAAAAGATAATTTTCCCTGGCTGGTGCGGTTTTCTCATTCAGTTAACAGTAGATCAACTACCCACAATATTGTAGCCCCTGTGATAAGATAAAGGATGCACATTAATCTCTGCAGTGTCATATATGAATTAGAGCAGGGTTGTCAAACATGCGGCCCCCCAGATGTTGCTGAACTACAACTCCCATGATTCCCTGGCTATCTGTCATGGGAGTTGTAGTTCAGCAACATCTGGGGGGCCGCATGTTTGACAACCCTGAATTAGAGCCTTGCTATGAGACACTTTATGGTTAATAAAGACTCTCAAATTAAGAAATAGGTGGGTATTTTCATGTCTACCTCTTCAGAACATTTAATTAAACACTCTGGACATCATAACAACTTCATTAAAATGGTAGGTCCTTGGCACTTTCTTACCCGAAGGGGTAAAACTGTTCTAGACCATTTTTACCCCAAAAGTTGCCTTTAACCCAGTTTCTCCCTTTCCCCAGTGGCTTCCATCTTCTTCAATTGACTTCCAGGAAATATGGAGTGCTGCTGGGCAGGGGCACCGAGGATTGACTAGAGTGATCAGCTGACACTCTAAGTCAATTATGAGCTCCCGTTGTATGTACGTGGGGAAAGTGATATCTAGTGCTGGAGGCATCCTTTGGGGTTAAACTGTTCTAGAACGGTTGAATCCCACAGGTAAGAAAGCACCAGGGATCTCCTGGCTCCATAACAACTTAATTTCAATGCGTTGTAATTGGATTTCTCATGGGACAGGTAGATATAAAAGAAAAAAAGCTCGGATCTCAGTACTCGGAGGCTAAACTCCTCACATGAAAGAGGATTAGTGTTGAACTGATGGTATTGAATGTCTTCAGTAGAAAAGAAAAATTGTTTAAGAACTTATTTCAGATGTATATTGCAATTCAAACACAGAAACAATGAGAAACCACATGCGTAGAAACAGACAAAATAAACTGAATACAACAACAAGATTACATTTGGTGCTGTAAGCACTAATCCATGAAGAGCATTCAAGTAATAAACAACCAAAAAGACAACAATATTGTTAGAACAAATCAATTCATCAAGACAAGAAGAACACTTGTCTTGACTTTGGTTCTGCATCAAGTCTCCGAAATATCATACCAAAGTAATATTAAGGGTTAATGTTGTAAATATTTTGGGTCACCTTTATTTGACTTCAGAAAATGCAATAACAAAAATAGCATCGAACAGTATGACTCCAGTCCCTTTCATTATATGTTCTACAATTAGTACCATTAGCTATCAAAATAAGGAAATGCAGATATCCAAGATTGGGTCAAATTCTTAAACTATAATAATTTTCATTGACAATGACTTGGCGGTGCAATTGACATGCCTATACTTAGAAGAATATTGGATGCTATCCAACTATAAGTAAAATAAGCAAAAATGTCAGCAACCTTGGGCCTGTTTAATAACAAAGATTTCAGTTAAAATGGCAATATCAATTCATATTTTTTATGTAAAAAGGGTTTTGAGAAATGAAGGTATAGCAGACATTAAATGTGACTACAGATGTAGTCACAGAGGCAAGGTCAAATCAGAGATAAAAAATAAAATTAAAAAATATATAAAATGTATACATCTACTAGTTATTTGGCTAGCTATTTCAGATTTGTAGACAAGGAAATGTTGTCACGTTGCTTTTAAAAATTACTAATGGCACTTACCCGCTCCCCAGAGCTGCTATGGAGACCATGATGCCAGGTTTATAGGTTTTACACTAGTGTGATTTTCCATTTTTTATTGTATTGGTCCTGATGTGCGTACCAATGAAAGGATAGAGAGAAGAGGTCCAGGCCCTCCTGTAGCTACATACACATTTATTGGAACATGAAGACCTCTGCAGTGATCCTCATGTTCCAATAAACGTGTCTGAAGCTTCAGAAGGGCCTGGATCTCTTCTCTCTTACCGGTATTTATTTTGGACTTGTGCTGGCCCATGGTCTAGTTTAGCTCCCTTGGCTTATGTGGATTGAGTGTGTTTCCTATTGGTATTGTGATATTAAAGAAAGGAGTTCTCCCTCATTGTGATAACACATTCATTGCAAGTAAATAGGTGTGTGAATTGTGTCTGTCACTTATGATCAACCAGCAAATCATTAAATTATTGCATGGGAGATAAATCTACACAAAACATTCACATGTGGTAGGGTTCTCCTGTTGTAGTCAGCTAATCAATACTTAGCTTTGTTATTGACATAACTTTGAATGCAAAAAAATAATGACATGTAGAGGGGCTACTGTGTAATTGGATTTTTAAAAAATATGTTAGCACAATATATCAATTAAATTGAAGGCTCTTTAACAAAAGCTTAAGTTGGGTGTATCAATGTATTAATAAGTATTAGTATTGATAGCATTATCAGAATATAAATTGAAAAAATATAAGTAGGTGATATATTTAATAGTTATACTAAGTCAAAAAAAGTGTGTTGGGACCAAGAAACTGGTTCAAATTCTGAGTGTTAATAGGTTGGGATACTAGCAGGCTGCGGCTCTAAACCACAGGCAAAACTCAAAGATGAGGCTCCCACTAATACCCAAAGTGAAATAAATGGGGGTTGAATTGTGTGTGTAAGGAGCTGTGGTTATATTGAAGGGCTGGCTTGCAGCACTGGATACAGAGAGCTAGTCCCTGTATTCATTGTTTAGAGGCTTGCAGTGTTGTGACTCCCTGTACCACTGCATTGTGAGCTCTTTGACTGTAGTTATGGCATCATTTGCAAACAATATTAATTAGCAATAAACACATTTAATATGCTAATTGTTTATATATGATTGTGAGGTATGGATGCATAGCTTGGCAGTCATGTAAACATTATTACATTTTAAATTTTGGTTGAGCAAAAAAGGTTTTAAAAATAATTTGTCAAATAATGAAGTTGCAGAAAAGAAAACAGTATTATAGACTTTCCCCCCATATATTCTATAATCCTTTTACATAGATATTATAATATATAATATATATGTGTTTCTCCATGTATTGTATATGTATATATTATGTATATATATATTATATATGTTCCCAATTTACGTCTGCATTGCCCATACCACCCTCCCATTGCAGTCATAGACACAAAGACACTAATACATGTATGTGCATTTTTATATATACACTCTGATACACACACATGCATACAAACACACAAACACACTGATGCATAGAAAAACACACATTTACAAATACAGACATACAGTCACAATGTGTATTTTGCTGTGTTTAATCCGCATCCTGTATGGAGGTGAGGTGCAGAGTGGTGCCGTTTTGTTCCACTGACAATGGAGGGTTTTAGGTAAAGTCCAGCGGTAGGTCACGTTGGCGTCTTGAAGACGGCGGGTCACCGGGCGCCGGTTTCTTTTCCACTGGAAGGTGGATCTTGTCAGGTCCTGATAGAAGGTAAGACTTGTGTACTCAAATTCCATTGGTGTTTTGCCTTTAATGGCAGTGAAGATGGTATTTCTGTCTGTTTGAGTTTTGCACCGGATGATCACGTCTCTTGTTGCTAGGGGGGGTGCTTATGGCGACACAAAATATCCCTGCAAAGGCTAGTTTCTTGGCCTGCGTATGTGGCAATATGGTAGCAACTAAACGTCTGAGGTAGTGTGGCAGCTCTGACTGGCTGATTTCATCGGGAATTCCCCTGATTTTCACGTTGGTTTTGCGGCTTCTCTCTTCTGCTGCATCCAGCTTGTTAATCAAAATTGAGTGCGAGGAATGTAGTTGGATCACCGTTTCTTTAAGGCCTTTTGCTTCTTGTTGGACGTCCATAATGTCCTCCTCTGAAGTTTTTACACGGTCTGTGACCACATGGACCTCTGTTTTCAGTATGGCCAAATCTTCTGCTGACATTTGTTTCAGTTCCAGTAGGAGGTTTTTAATGTCCAGTTTAGTGGCTGGAGTCAGTGCATTAGGATCTGTCTGCATATCTTGGGGTGACTGTGGGTCAAGAGTATCCCCCGGGATCTGCTCCGAACATGTAGAGCTGGCGTCTTGGTCTGGCGTGGCTGCCATCTTTGGGACTGCGGGGCGTTGGAGCATTGTGCTGATATCGTGGGTGTCTTTACACGCACCTGTTGCGATCCGTTGGGATTTTCATCCAATGTTTGCCGGGTCGGGTTCTCCGCGGGTGGTGTGGTGACGGAGAGTACCGTGTTGTGTAGTGCTGTTTCAAAGGCCCTGTAGTCTGAGTAGGCCTTGACTTTGCGGCATGCTTTTCAACCCGTCTGCGGGTATAAAAAGGGCATCGGTCAGTTGTTGGCATCGCCCTCTTGCTCTGCCCTTGGTTTTTAGGGCTGTTTAGGCTTGCTTGGCTGTGGTAGCCATCGATTTTCCCCCATTTTTGCCCTGAGAGTGTGTTTCTGACAGAGAGTATCCTTGTGTGTGAATATATGTCTCGATGAGTATGTGTATGTTTGTGCCTGGGACTGTATGTTTGTGGGGTAGCTGCTTGCAATGTGTTGTGTGTATGGGGTGACTGCTTTTGGCCTGTGTGCATTATTTATATGGCAAAGCTATGTTTCATGACTGTGTGTATAATGGTCGGAGGACAGGATTGGAGGGGTTAATGTGATAGGGTGAGTGTGCCAGGGTGAAGGAGGGTGAGTCAGACAGAGTGATAAAGAAGGAGTGTGGCAAGGTTGGAAGGTGATTGTGACAGTGTGAGAGAAGGTGAGTGTGACAGGCCAGGTGAATTTAGTATAGTTGGTGGGGATGAGAGTGACAGAATTAGGAGGGATTAATGTAAGTGTAACTTGGTGAAAGTGGCTGAGAGTGTGTGTCGTGATTGTGTGTGGGGAGGATAACAATGTGTGAGGGGATCACAGTGTGTTTGTGGGGGTGATAGTGTGTGTGTGAGGGTGACAGTGTCTGGGGAGGGTGACAGTATGTGTGTATTGGGTGACAGTGTGTGTGGAGGGATAACAGTTTGTGTATGTGGGGGTGACAGTATGTAGGGAGTGTGACAGTGTGGTGGGTGACAGTGTGTTTGTGGAGATGACATTGTGTGTGTGGCGGGTGAGTGACAGTATGTGTGGGGAGAATGGCAGTGTGTGTGGGGGGATTGACAGTGTGTGGGGGTGACAGTGTGTGGGGGGATGACAGCATGTGTGTGTGGGTGACAGTGTGTGGGGGAATTACAGTGTGTGTGTGTGTGTGTGTCTGTGTGTGTGGAAGTGACAGTGTTTGGGGAGGATGACAG